TAAAAACTAAATCCATCCCACCGAATTTAGATAATTTAATAGGTCTTATATCTTCATCGCTGAACAGTCTGATAAACTATCTAAGAAGTATCTTCCTAAGAACCTATATCTTCTGGATTCCATATTCTATATTTTATATTCTATATATTATATTCTATATTTTATATTCTATATTTTGTTTTCTATATTTTATATTCTATGTTTTATATTCTATATTTTATACTTTTTATTCTTTTTTCTATATTTTATGTTCTATATTTTATATTCTATATTTTATATTCTATATTTTATATTCTTTATTTTATATTTTATGTTCTATATTTAATAATCTTTATTCTATATATTATGTTCTATATTTTATATTCTATATTTTATGTTCTTTATTTTAAATTCTATAGATTTGAATTACATCTTCTTTTGCTTTTAAACAAAAATAAGATGACAAAAGATTTATAACTAACCGAAGAATTTTACATTTATTTTTAGTGGACAAAAAGAGAGATTAGGATACCGATGGATACTAAACATTCATTGAGGCTTATTGCCACATTGTTTTACCATATAAGAAATTCAGATATTTAAAAACCACCTTGAAAATTTGACAAAGGCGGTTTAGAGGAAAGTCCTAGAGTTACCCAAGATTCTCAAAAAACAAAAGCTTCCAAAGTAGTAAAACTAATAAAATCAAAAAGAAATAAATAAGCAAATATTTGAAGAAAGTTCAAAGCTCAGTATCCACGGTCAAAGTAAGTTTAAGCTTCCATTCCTGACACTTTCAGTACAAAACTTATATACTGACAAGTAATGATGGATATTTGGCAGTATCAGACATAATTTACTTGGTTAAAATATCAAATTTTTTAAATAAAGAAAGAATAGAATAAAGAATACCCGTTTTCATATTTGAAATAAATTTCTTGGCATAGAACGTATATATTATAATTAAAAATAACCTTTAGAAACTAACTTTGAACTTACAGACGCAATCAAACGACATAAAAATTTTGATTAGAAACGATCTTTGGAATCTTATTAGAATCTCTAAACTCGCTAACATAATCAAAACTTACTTTTTCTAAAGAAATACATAGAAATTAAATTAATAGAATTATAGTACTTTGAAGTCTAGAGTACCTTCAAGTTCAATTTCCGTTCTTAGTTCAATTTTATCTTTAAGTTGAGATTTAAAAAACGAAGTACCCATGTTGCTCAATTCGATTCAAACTCAAGACTTTCTGCTACATTAACGCAACTCACAAATCACTTTGGTATCCGTTAAATAACAAACTGCATACTTAATATTATAATCTACATTAGTATAAAAATTTTTTTTTGTTGATTGATTGTTTTATTTGATGACTAGCTAATGACCCTTAGAAAAACTTACCCTCAAAATACCAAAATGTCATTCACAAGAAATTCATATGAAATAACAAAGTACATATTTAACATAAAAATACAAATCACATGGGCGTTATTTGATTTAATTGTATATTTATGCAACTATAAAAATAGTAAAATAAACATTTTTAACAGACAATAACAATAACAATAACAACAACATTAAATTGAAGTACCAGCTTGGATAAATAAATAAACACTTCAGATACGTTAAACCATGATTCGAATTTCAAAAATAACAAATGAAACATCGCAATGCCAAATTTGAAAAGTATCTTCCCAGCTTATTGGTGGCTCCTATTTAGAATTTGGACAAAGGATATACTTTATTTGAGAAAGGAAGGAAATTCTGAAAGATGTAATCTACATGTGTATTCAAGTATGTCAATGCATATTGAAAAATGTGCAGTTTCTTATACGAAAGATTCAAGTGCAGATGCAGTTGCGCACGCGTATGGCACATGTGTTGCATTAGGCAATAGGAAAGCGCATTTAAAATATTTTAATAGATTTATGGTACTTGAAATATTCTAAAAATTGCATATAAATCAATTGTCTATGAATAAGAAAATATATTCCATATGTAATTATGTTAATTATAATGTGACATAAATCACACTGATAAATTTTTTCTAAAACTATAGGAATAATATATGTAAGATATGTATAAGATATGTATAAATATGTATAAGATGAGATTATAAGATTATTAGGATATGTACATGTATAATTTATATATATATCTATTTTATATAATATCTATTTTATATAAAAATATCTATTGTAGTAAGTAAATTCAAGCATAACTTATATTTTTCTATAATTTCAAATATATCTTTTATATACAAAAAAATTGATTGTATTTGAAAAGTTTAAGCATATTTTACTTTTACATATTTTTCTATACATACAAAAATATCTATTCTATATAAATATATCAATTGCACAATATATATATTTTATATTATGAAATAGTTTTTCTACCATGCATTGAGATCATAACTTTTCAAATTAATTAAAATTTTAATTTTAATTAAATATGAAAACTCTAATTAGTTTATATCGTGTCGCCAATTATTTTTATTGCCAATCTTCTTGAGCTTATGTCATCACTATACTATAATAAACTTAATTAGTTTTTTAAAAAAATTTGCAAAAAAAAATATATTTTGATCACCTACAAAGCCATGCCCCCTACATGCAACAACAAACAATGTAAATAAAAAAAGATACTGCAATTGAATTGAAAAACTAAAGAATTTCTAAAAATTATCTCAATTGAATTTTTTTTAATGAGATAGATACATATATACCAAATAAGAATAAAAAAATATATTAAGTAAACAATTACGATACAAATTGATGAAACAAAATAGTAAAAATTCTTTGAATGGGTTCCGATAAATATTTTAGAATGAAAGCCAATTATTTGTTTTTTAATCGAAGAATTATTCTGTTGAAACTATTTCAACCAGTGCACTTGAGCACTTTTACTCTTTCTTAATTCGAGGTATTTTCAAAACCCCTCTTTACGCCTTGACTGGATTATTGTTTATCACTTCAACAGACTAAGCAATAATTGATCTCAGATCTGCATACCTCTCCGAAGAACCTGTAACCATTCTGAGATTTGACAACGCGGTGTTGGTAAGTCTAGCAGTTTAATCGAAGAATTATTAACATTTTTATTTTTATAAATTAAAATTCTATAATTATGCAAAAAAAAATTAATAAATATTTTTAATGGTTTAAGCGCTTGACAGATGTCTTTATATCTTTATGTTAGGAAGATATGTGAATTTTTTATAACTCCAAACATCCTTATTTATAAAACGAATAGATGGAATA